TCAGGGCAACACATGGAACGAAGTCTTCCATCTATCGCAAATGGGTTTAAATAGGGCCTATGATTCGCTTAGCAGTAATATTCTCACCCTAAATGTAACCAAATCTAAGTATATGACATTCGCTTTAACAAAAAAAAAACTGCCTACATGTTATTATACAACTGCCCACAAATATATTGATAAAAATATAAACAACTGTAACTGTAAATCCATTAAAAGTTGTGATACGTTTAAGTATCTGGGTGTCATAATTGATAATACACTAAGTTTTAAAGCTCATACCCTAATGCTGGGTGCTAGACTCCGTAGACTCGAAGTAGCTGTAAATCATGTCATTCTTAGGGGCTTAAGACATTGGATTATAATTCCATGGAAGAACTAGAACTTCTATTAACTATTTTGAGTTGATACAAGTGTATATTATTTAACATACACATATACATATAAAAACATATATGCAAATACATACACACATAAGCTTACATGTGCACACACATACATAAACGCGCGTGCGCTAACTACTACCCATAATACCCCCATGCATTGCCATTCCTGAGGACTCAGGTGTTATTCCTCTATACCCTGTAAATTCACTGGTTCCCACCCTTCAAACCGACACACAGCATACACAGCATGCAAACACGACTGCTTAACGGTAGAAACACGAATGGGACAAAGGTGCACAAGCAAACGACTTTGATTATATTATGGTTCAATTGCATCATGTAATACAAAGCAGCTTATAGCGGTAGAATATGCTCCCAGTAATCCGCTGGATCATAATTAATAATTTTTTTGTATTACAATGCATTATTCATAAATATAATAAATAGAATTTTTAATTTTTTATAAATAGAATAACGAAAAACGCATTGAAATGGAAATAAATCCACTGATTATATTTCAGACTTAATTTTTAGCATCTATTGGTCTTAAGATTCCTCTAAGAAATATTGATTTCTTAAATATCTGCCATGTACAGACACCACCTAGTCACAATTTAATTATATAATATAATAAACGATTTGACTAATTAGGTACTTTGTCGAACAGTTGTGTTAAAACATTTGTTTAAATAATAAGTGTAATATGCCAAATCTAGACAATACGTAATAATGGTGATATATAAAGCTTTTATAATGTAAGGTAGACAAAAAAACTACATATCGCCTAAATAGGTTCTTGATTGCAACTTCCAAAAGGAGATTCTCAATATGTCTGCAATTCAGAACCGATTTTTATAATTATTTTCACAATCGATAGATATCTTTACTTTCGTGTTGGTTCGCTCATAATTTTGCGATTACTTAAACTGACATTTTTCTTTGCGGAAAATTTGAATGTTTGTTCTGAGATCACGCAAAAACTATTGCGCTAAATTATACAGGCCGTGCCGTAAGTCATGTATCAAACGGATTCTGGCAATAGAGGGTATCACGCGCTATCAATATAAATAAATAAATAAACAAAAAAGAATTAAACCAACAGTTACAAAATAGTGTTTTTTTTTTATTTTATTTTTAAGTCATAAGTTCTGTTACAAATAAAATGCACTTTTTATGAAGTAATGTATCTATAAAATTTATACCTACATATTTATTAAAATATCAGCAAAAAATAAAAAAAATATATTCTATTTGAAATGGCCACCTTTGCCTTTATACAGGCCTTTAATCTGTCTGGCTATGAATCTATAAATTTACGCACTGTTTCCAAGGGAAATTTCGCCACTGTTTGCTCTAAAGATTTTTTAAAATGTACTACACATTTCACATAGAAATGTAATTTAATAGTGACGTTTAATAATAATCACAACATTGTATATTTTTAGAATCGTCATGTAAAGTAGAAGTTTTTATAATAATATGCCGAACTTATACAATGTAATAAATAAAACACGTCCGTACTCAATTGCATATCTCTTTTTATAATCTCGACACATTTAGCTAACACAATATTGGAAATTTTTTTCCGAGATTCGACTGGACACACTTAATATTTTTTTTTTTAAATAGCTCTTGAAATTTCTCCATCGATGCGAGAAGAAAGAGGAACGCTTGGTTGGGGTTACATTTGAATGAATCTCTAGTCATTATACCAATATCATAACAGTTAACTATGATATGGAAGTCAGATAAATTATTTAATTTTATTGTAAGGAGCTTTTTTTAAAAATATAAATTATAAAAGTACACATACTCGGTATATCCAAATGTCGCAAAGGGCCCGATCTATGGCCGCCGCCAGGCAAATGCCCAGTGAGACAAAATAAGTTCACTGTGTTGAGATAATAATGCATTAGACATTAAAAGGCGGCAAATATTTTCCCTGGCAAAATACCCAGATCGGGCACTGACCTCACACTTCATTCGAGCTCTCTATAATTTTCCAGCATTACTTAATTCACATCATAACAGACTTAGTCAAATTTGGTTCAGTTTTACTGATATTATCTAAATATAATTACTATAATATGTATAATACTATTCATAAAGGTGGCCCTTTTTAAACGGCATTTTGACATACCTAATTTATTATCATAGTTACCCTGTATCATTATTTAATTATACCTTTTGATATAGGTCTTAATATCGACAGTTGTCATCATAAAACTTAAATAAATCGCAAATACCATTTCGAATATTTAAACGGATATCTAAATTAAGCGGAAATTGTTAAACTGCAACGTGCAATGGTACTAAACACATTGTTTGTTCTCGCAACAGTTGTTCACATAGATCGAAATTAATATAAATCGAATTGAATATATATCTAAAAAAATGTACTACACAATAAATTTTTTTTCCGCTTCGTTTAAACTTCTTACTAAAAAATATTCGAATTGAATTTTATTACAAAATGGTTAATTTTTAAAAGTAACGGTTAGAAAATTCTAAACAAATATTTCCATCGGAAAGCCATATTATGTGTTTCCCTCCTTACATAAAAATTATTCTGTGGAATGCACAATTTTATTAAATATTATATAAAGTTGTCATCCCCATAGAAATATTTCTAGAAAAATAAAAAAATTCCACTATTTAGTAACTATTGGTTTAATTAATTTTTGTTTATTTTTTTTTTGCCTATGTCTCGACCGAATCAAAGGCTTTCTCATAGTTTATAAACGCCAAATATAGTGGCAGATTATACTTTTCGGTCTTCTATATAATCTGCCGTGGCGTATGTACGCGGTCTATGGTGCTAAAGACCATTCGGTATCCAGATTTTGCGGGTAGCTGAAAGTCGTCGAGGTTGCGCGTAAGACGTTTCATTAGGGATATTGGTCTGTAGTTATTCAATAGGGTATTGTCACCCTTCTTGAAGAACAGGACTACAGCTCTTCTATTCCACGCCTCGGACGTAACATCGTTATGGATGATGAATTTAAATAGCATCTGAAGTACTACAAGTACCAGTTTTCCACCCACTCTCAGAAGCTCTGCTGTAATTCCATCTTCCCCCGGTGCCTTGCCATTATTAAGCTGTAAAATATCTATATTTTACAGCTTAATATATAAATATAGCCCATATTCTGCGCTGACATCGCCAGAAATTGTAGATGTATTTAAAGAAAATACAAATTAATTTAGTCTATGAATTTAGTTATAATATTGTTACTTACTCGTTTTAAAATTAAATTTCATGTAAGTCAAGTTTATTTTTTATGACGTCAGTTTACATCCTTCATCTGATATTTCATCGTGTTGAAGATAATATTTTTAATTACATATAGCAACTAAAATGTTTTTGGATAATTGTGGAAATGTAATTTGGCAACACTAACATTCTCTGATTTCCGTGTTTACTGTGTACCTAATGGCGTCCTGCGATACAAACGTGTTTTTTTTTTATTAAAAATTTTATTAACTAGCATATTTTCATCATTATAACAGACCCTTTCACATTAACACTGCGTGTATAACTTAATAAATCAAATCCTAGTACATTTTTTTTTAAGTTGTGAACGTAATATTAAGTAACAAGTTTAGTATTAACAGATAGATTTGTATTATTTGTAACCCTATATATATCTATAAAAGCCGTTCAGGAAACCTGGCTGTTGCCTTAAAACATCCCTTTGTTGAGTATTATAACCGACGCCTATGCTTACACTGCCGTTGCCATATGATCCCGGCATAGAATGGGCTCCTCCTTTCTTTCCTGTGGGTGGCGTAAGAGCCATTAAGGGAACTTAGTGATCAAGAGATAGGTAGCAGCGTTTCTCCTAAAACATCACCTCATCCCTCATTTTTGACCCGCTAATATATATCGTTAGCGCGGGCCAAGTAGCCATACCATAATTATCCATTAAAAAAAAAACGCTTATATTGAACGTGCAGGGGGCTGGCTGTAGGTCATATGTTGGATCGTAGGTTTGCTCGTTTAACTGAAGTTAAAATAACATTATTCAAGGCATATTGTCAATCTGTCTATATGAACAGCCTGTGGGTTGACTATACACGGAGGGCACACAGGCCTCTAAATGTTCAATAAAATAATTTTCCAGGGTGTTGTTATGGTTATTATATTATGGTATATTATAATGGAGTTATGGGATAATTAGAAAATAAATACTTAAATTGGAAAAAATTACGACAACGTCGTTCTACTAGAACCTATTGGTGTGTGGCAGTTAGCTTACGCGCAAAGGAAGTTATGAGGGTCTATCTGCTGATAGACCCTCATGGTACCTACATCAAAAAAAAATATATATATATTATATATATATATATATATATATATATATATATATATATATATATATATATATATATATATATATATATATATATATATGTATATATATATATATATATATATATATATATATATATATATATATAACAAACAAAATTTGGAATTTTTTTTTGAAGCGTGTACTTTAGACATTTATATAATAATATTCATGTTTATAGTCATATGTAAATATCACGTAAGTACACAAAATTTAAGTATATAAAAGATAGGAAAATTATTTATTACTGCTAAGTGTGCAAGCCAATTTTATTTTACATAATGTTGCCACTTGTAAAAGAAAAACTTATAGTCATATTCGTTCTTCCTATTTTATGTGAGTCCAGCTTAGTGGATCCAATTCTTAGTAGTGCAATTGAAAATGTGATACCTAATATAAACATTACAGAAATAATAAATAAATATTCTCCTCTTCAAAGTCACTTATCAGAAGATGGAAAACTCAACTTTTCTGAGCTCGCTGTAAAATACGGACAAAAATGTGAAGAGTATTCCGTGACAACCGAGGACAAATATATACTCACAATATTCCACATTCCCGGAAAAGGCAGACCTGTACTTTTAATGCACGGTTTAATAGACTCGTCAGATACTTTCATCATAAGAGGAAATATATCTCTCGCCATCACTTTAGCTGATGCAGGATACGACGTATGGGCTGCGAATTTTAGAGGTAATAGGTATTCGTTAGGCCATGAGACATTGGATTGTGAAAAAGACAAAGAGTACTGGGATTTCAGTTTGTACGAATTTGGATATTATGATTCTAGTGTCTGCATAGACTTCGTGTTACAACAGACTGATAAAAAAAAATTGACAGTCATCGGACATTCTCAGGGAACTACGAATTTTTTTGTACTCGGATCAAGGAGACCTGAATATAACGACAAAATCAATGTCTTTATTGCCTTAGCTCCTGTAGCGTATTTAAGTCATATGAGGGGATTGATAGAAGTTGCTGTTAAATTGGCACCACCAATATATTCTGCGCTGACATCGCTAGGAGTTGTAGATGTATTTAAAGAAAATTCTGCACTAAAAGATTTTATAGAAGTTGCGTGCACTCAAGATGTTGGAAGTTATGAACTTTGTTTTGATGGCGCTATTTTCCCAGGAGCCGGTTTCGATAGTGAAGAAACGGAGCCGCAATTCTCACACGTTGTGTTTGGTCATTATCCAGCTAGAAGTTCTATAAAAAATATATATCACTTAAGCCAAATTGCGAACAGAAATAAATTTGCTGATTACGATTACGGTACAATTAAAAATCTCGAAGTTTATGGCGCTACGGATCCTCCGGAATTTGATCTGGGGAAAGTTAAAGCGAAGACCGCTTTGTTTGTTGGTGAAAATGACTTCTTAGGCACTGTAGAAGACGTCGACACTCTGAAGTCTCAATTACCAAATGTAGTAAAATATCAAATATTACCCCGAAAGGAGTTTAATCATATGGATTTTGTTTGGGGAAAACATATGCCAGAAACCTTATATCCTTATGTATTTGAAGTCTTAGATAAATATTCGTAGAACAAGTACAATACACTAGCAATATAGGGTATATTGCTACCAGGTCGACCTCCATGTGATCCCCCCTTGAAACCATCGTGTTGAATTCCAGGTGTATTCATCACGATAGACTAACTGACCTTTCTTTTCATTCTTACTTATGGTGTATCGCCATCGTTCATTGTTAGCAATACAGGATGTATCAGGCGACTTTCTCGCGGTTCCCCCTGAAAACTATCGTGTTCTATTCAAAGTGAATCTATCACGATAAGCTAACTGACTTGTCTTTTCATTGTCACCTATCATACCTCACTGGTGCCCCGCCAGCGTATACCGTCAGCGCACGCAGAGTTACTATTCCATTATCATCTATTTAAAAAAAATACTGCCAGCGTATACGGTTAAAGCAAGTGGGGTTACTACTCCTTTGTCATCCATTAAAAAAACATGTTGTCTATGTGTTATGTCATAGTATGCATTAACGTTAAATGAATAACTTGAATTAAAAAAAACAACTAACCAAAAAAATATTTATTTTCTATAATTAATATGTAACTAGATACATAGCTTGAACAATTTCATATAAAATTAAATACATTTCCATCTGATTAACTTGCTGTTTTTATATCAAATGAAAAGCATATTGATTTATATAAGGTGATAATTTTGGACGAAGGTGTGATCCTAATAAATTCTGCCCGAAAATAAGATTCAACAAAACACACTACTTATAGTATCTACCATTACATCTCTGGAGTAAAACTCCGGGGGTTTCTTATTACAAAGGCCAAATTTCGCTTTAAGTACGACGTCTAACAATTACACATTATATGAATAGGTAAAATGGACCCAGATGTGGTCTAAAGTTAATGTTTATCTATAATCTAAGCTCGAAAACTATATTTTCAAGTGCTGTTGAAAGTAATACACGCCTATAATAAAATTTCAATCTGATATTACAACAAAATCTTTATTGTAAGGACCAATACGAACTAATTTTCCAATAGACTTAAATAAAAAATATTATAATTTTAGGTTATAATGGCCCATAAACAGTCATCATCATAGCAGCCTTTAACTGTCCACTGCTGAACATAAACCTCTCCTTGATTGAGGATTTTGTCAGTAGGTTCCATGCTTGGCAGGCGGATTGGCAACCGCAGTTAGGCTTTGAAGATCTTTTTAGAAGGACGCTGCTGCCTATCCCTCATCCTTCCCCATAAACAATATTTTTTTATGCAACTTAAAATGGCTAACTAGCTGATGGCCCACCTGATAGAAAGTGGTAACCGTCGCCTATAGATATGAGCAGTACCATGGACATAACAGGTATCATGGGTGAAACAATATACGGTTTTGCCAATGATACCTCCCATATGTTGCCATTCCTGAGGACTCAGGTGTTACTCCTCTGTACCCTGTACGATGACCGACCCTAGACAAGTGCCAAACAATAATAATAATAATAATTGTTTTATTTATTTTAATTAAATAATATGTACTTATAACCAATAGAATCGTTTCGGTTTACAGTCTCATAAGAAAAAACAAGACAATGCATGTCGCCATGTCATTCTAACTTGAAGGCACTATAGTGATAGCGATTTCGTCGATTGTGTACAAGATATACGGTATTTCACGCCGGAACACCGCCTGAAACTGTATAAAACTCAAGTGAGGCCACACATGGAATAGCAGGAGCGCCACAGTACCAACTCCTTCCGTTAGACCGCATTCAAAGTCGGTCAGCTCGAATTGTTAACGATCAGCGTCTTACTGTCCGACTCGACCCACTGAAACTGCGTAGAGATGTTGCATCTCTGTGCATCTTCTACCGAATTTATCTCCGGGAGTGCTCTGAAGAATTGTTCGGATTGATACCTGATGCTGATTTTCACCATCTTACAACCCGCCATAAACTAAAATTTCATCCCAACCATCTGGACGAGTGGCGGTCCTCCACCGTGCATTTTTCAAGGCACTTTCTTCCACGCACAACCACTCTTTGGAATTAACTTCCAGCAGCAATATTTCCGAACCGATACGACAACATAACCTTCAAGAAAAGAGCATATTCCTTTTTAAAAGGCCGGCAGCACACCTGCAATGCTGTAGGTGTTGTGGGTGACCATGAGCGGCGGTAGTCACCATTAGGTGAGCCGCTTGCTCGTTTGCCCCCTGTGTTGTAAAAAAATATACATAACGAAAAAAAACACTATATGTTTACTTGGCACGGAGAAAATAAGGCCTTTCTGACGTACATATATTATATGGTTAATACAAATGTTTTCGATATAACTGCGACGTAAAATATGTTCAAATATTATCTTCGTTTACGTCATATAGGTTTAAAAAAAAAAAGAAATAAACATAAGATCAATAAATATTCATTAAATTGACAATTTGGCAAATCCAATTCACAATTCACAAGTTTATTTTTTAAAAAGATGATGATTCTATTTTTAAAAAATATCTTTTAAAAATATAGTATAATTTTTCCTGTTCTCCTTTAACCTTTGTTTATATTTTGGTCAGTACCTTATGCTGCTGTATTTTATATGAACTTTTTAATTGTTATTATAATTATGTATGTTTTAATATAATAAAGAGGGGGGAAAGGGATTATTAGTAATGGGGTCTGGTTTCCTTATAACTAGCAATAGACCCTATAAGGTCGACCTCCACGCGGTTTCTCCTGTAAACTATTTTAATTAATTCTAGTGGAATTCGTCACGATTGGCTAACTGCCTGCTTTTTCATCCTTACCTATCATGCCTCACTGGCTAGCGTATACCAATAGCGCAGGCGGGGTTACCATTCCATTATCGCACATTAAAAAAGTGCAATAAAAAGTTAAATAAATAAATATACAGTTAATATAAAATTCCATGAACATATTGAGATTTTTAAAACCTAGTTTATTATTCTGACGTACCTATATATTCAACCGATTTTAGATTAAAATTTTGGCGCTAAACTTTTTGAGCTACTTATAAACGGTAGTAGTTTACGGGTTGTGGAAGTCCGTAGGTGTACTTCGATGATGCTGGCCATACTGCCTGTATTGACAGATGGTGTACTTACCGGTGACTATTGCACACGTATATACGTATACGGAGGGCACTAAATTAAATTTAATATAAGATCTAAACATTTGTTTAATTGATTGGTAAATGCGGATGGATCACATAAAATGAGTATGTATTCTCAAGTTGCCTTAATATATTTTAGACTGATTTTTTTATAATCGTGAGCGTGTCTAAGCCGATATTACAATAATAGATAATTGTTAAGGTATATATTTGAGCTCTTGAATTAAATTATTTCAACTATAAAAACATTGCAGTATATTTACACCACATTTATGGCGGTTTTTCACAAAACAATTTGAATCATTCGATTGATAGGAAGCCGTTTTATTGTCACAAATAATATACTAGTGATCATTGTAAATTCATAATTATGTTGTGAGAGGACAATCTTTACAACTTTTAACTGACTATCTAAATGATAGATTCCAAAAAGTAAAAATTGACAAATGGATTAGTGATGAACCTCCAGTCACCTTCGGATTTTCTCAGGGTAGTATCTTCGCACCGACCTTATTCTTGGTCTATATATAAGATCTTTTCCAACTTCTGATATAAAATGGCAAAATTATCGCTAGTGTTCATGATACTGCCCTGATATTTCAGGGCAACACATGGAATGAAGTCTTCCATCTATCGCAAATGGGTTAAAATAGGGCCTATGATTCGCTTAGCAGTAATATTCTCACCCTAAATGTAACCAAATCTAAGTATATGACATTCGCTTTAACAAAAAAAAAACTGCCTACATGTTATTATACAACTGCCCACAAATATATTGATAAAAATATAAACAACTGTAACTGTAAATCCATTAAAAGTTGTGATACGTTTAAGTATCTGGGTGTCATAATTGATAATACACTAAGTTTTAAAGCTCATACCCAAATGCTGGGTGCTAGACTCCGTAGACTCGAAGTAGCTGTAAATCATGTTATTCTTAGTGGCTTAAGACATTGGATTATAATTCCATGGAAGAACTAGGACTTCTATTTTGAGTTGATACAAGTGTATATTATTTAATATACACACATACATATAAAAACATATGCAAATACATACACACTTAAGCTTACATGCGCACACGTGCACACACATACATAAACGCGCGTGCGCTAACACACACACTCTTTTTTTTAAATATTAATTTTATTGTTCATTTTGTTATGTTTATGGTACTGTATTTCTTAATAATTAATATGTTAATGAACTAAATACAAAAATGGGGTAATATTTATACTTACAAGGAGTCACACAATTATCAGCCCGCAAACTTATCAGCCGCCCCTCGTATATCACGCACCCTTGCCCGCACGGGATAAAGGAATTATAATTATATACGTATTCTAATGAATTATTTTTATGCAACTTAGAATGGCAAACAAGCTGACGATCCACCTGATAGAAAGTGGTAACCTTCGCCTATAGATATGGGAAGTACCATGGACATAACAGAGTATACTACCCCATGCATTGCCATTCCTGAGGACTCAGGTGTTATTCCTCTATACCCTGTAAATTCACTGGTTCCCACCCTTCAAACCGACACACAGCATACACAGCCATGCAAACACGACTGCTTAACGGTAGAAACACGAATGGGACAAAGGTGCACAAGCAAACGACTTTGATTATATTATGGTTCAATTGCATCATGTAATACAAAGCAGCTTATAGCGGTAGAATATGCTCCCAGTAATCCGCTGGATCATAATAAATGATTTTTTTGTATTACAATGCATTATTCATAAATATAATAAATAGAATTTTTCATTTTTCATGAATAGAATAACGAAAAACGCATTGGAATGGAAATAAATCCACTGATTATATTTCAGACTTAATTTTTAGCATCTATTGGTCTTAAGATTCTTCTAAGAAATATTGATTTCTTAAATATCTGCCATGTACAGACACCACCTAGTCACAATTTAATTATATAATATAATAAA